AAAATGAGTGATTAGGGTTAAATCCATTGCTTATATTGGTGCCGGGATTTATGTTCCAAGGGCCGTTCCCTTCAAAATTGATATAGCTGTGGCGCGTAAGCATCCAAAATTGAAACAATATCGGATGGATTGCGGTAGTCAAGTCTTTTGGGATTTTTTCCCTTTCCTTTGTGTTTTTATTGTAGGGGTAGCATAGGTTGTTGTAGCAAATCTATTAGGTTGTTCTTGATTGATCTTATTACAGCACTTGACTTGCAAGGCTATGTCCAACCAAACGGGTTATTTCTGCTGACTTTTCCAATGCTTCTATAACATGTTTGTATTTCTCACTGTGATGAACATTTCTAGTAGGTACTAATAACAGATCATCCATAATATCCCTTGTTAAAGATCCATCACGACCACCTGTGCCACTTATGTATAAAGTCTTACCTGTTTTGTAAAATCCACTTGGTGATGAATAGGCATTCCATAAGCCCCTGCGGTCTGCTATCTTCTCCTTGTTTGCTACATTTTTTCTTCAGCATATAGTGTTCTATGTTGTTTAAAGTGATCATTTAAGTTTCTTGTAAAGTCATTCATTCTATCATTCCAGTTTTGGTTCTTTTTTTCATAATCACTGTAGGTTTCTTGACCGATCTTACTGATTAACATCTGGGCGCTTCCAGGCAGATCCTTCCAGGCAATGTCAGACACATCAATCATTCTCAAGAAAACGCATGAGAAAGGTTGAAAAATGCTCATTTTCATCGAAAAACGTGCCGCTCATAGCGTTTTCTTTTGGATGAAGGGGCATTTGGAAGAGAAAAAAGAGCACCCCGAAGTCATTGCTTTTCTGGGATTTGTTTTTCGTATTTTGTGGATGGAATCATAAACTTGGTGTGCTGGTAAGAGTGGATTGTATTGTTATGGGGGGAAGTCGACATGGCGGCGACGGCTACAGCTGTTGGAACTAGAAAGCAGAAGATATAGGACTTGAGTCCGATGTTACAGCCAAGATCAAGATCGGGCAAAGAGCGGCTTTGTTATGGGGTAACAGAAAGCAGAAGTTATAGGTTTGGGCGGGCGTGCCATTTTTCCTTTGACTTAAGGGTGCTTTTGAGGCTGCGAAAAGGCACCCCGAAGGAACGGACGGGCACTTGCACGCTGATCGTTATATCCGTGCTTTGTAGATGGTGCTCCGACGTTACAGCCAAGATCAAATGAGTGTCTAACATCCAGCACAGAGTAGCAGTGTAATGGGGTGAAGTCGACACGGTAGCCACGCCTGGTACAAGACTGCTTAAATAGCCTCTGGCAGGCCTCTGCAGACGCACGTCTCCCTTGCCGCTGAGTTCTCGTCCTCCCCCGCTATGCCTATCCTCCACATGAACTCCCACCCCATATGGGGTGCCCTTTTGCGTCTGGCTACTATGCCGCTTCACCATTCCCTCTACTGCCCTCAACAAATCACATCGTTTCTTGCAATCCCTGCATTCTGTGCCCTAACAGATCACATCACGTCCACAAGACAACAGTGTGTTGAGAGACACACCTCCCTTTCACCCCTGGTCGAAGACTATTTAAGTAGCCTCCAGAGACGCACATCTCCGTGTCCTGGAGACGTTCCATTCACTTTTCGCCTCCCGTTGCACGCTGGTAGAAGACTGCTTACATTGCCTCCTGAACCCCTCATGATGCTAATGATGCACTATGATGCACTCTTCGCCGTCAATTGCATCACTTGCATCCGCAACACTCATACATGTTCACTCCCATGCTGACCACCCCCCCAATACTCACTTCGTTCGCCCATCCCAACTCCAACCTAGCCTGTCGGCTGGCTTTCGTGATATAGTATTAAGTACTTGTTGCAGCAAAGGAAAGTGATGCATTGTATCAGTCGATCCAAGGACAAATTGTCAAAATACTTTCGCTGACTGGCCCTGCAACCCTGCTCCTCGACGAATTCCAAGAAGCGAGAATAGGTGACACGGCCAGTAGCTTGCATCTGAGTCATGGGCTGCGGAACGCTCTGTGGCACTGCCACGTCATCAGCAACTGCAGCAGATGGACCTGCCATAGCAGCTAAAGACACCAAGGTCTGCACAGCTGCGGTTCGGACCACCTGGCTTGGCAAAGCAGTGCCATTGGAGACATCCTCAGGTAACACGACGTCTAAGCATCCGCAAGAGTCACAAGACCTTATGCTACAAATAAAATTACAATTAAAACAATGAAACATTCTTAGACCGTGCAAGCTCGGCAAAAGACACGGCCAAAACTCAACGCAAAAGAGTGCAAACTGATTGACATTATGATAGGAGGTGACATGAGATCACTGAAGAAGCTAAGAAGTCCAAGGCTCAGTTGCCATTCGCTGAACTTCTTGCAGAACCTTCTCACTGCTCACAGCCTTCTCATCGTGCGCGAGCCCAAGTCGGGCAATCGCGTTGCGTGCAGCAGCACGGTCATGGCGGGGACGGAGGGTCGAGCCACAGAAGCCCTTGTGCATTGAAGTGGGGGTCATAGATGTCATAGATGGAAGACACTTGCCTGGGCGATGCAGAGAACTTAGAGAACTCACAAAGTATCCATGTTGTCGTTTTGACTTTTGGTAGAGCCAGCAGGGCTGGTTTGAATATGATTGAATTTGTTTGCTTTGATGCTTTGTGACATCTTGTGACCAGATGATGCCCCTTCCAGAGTCGTGATTAGATGTGAAATCCAAGCTGCTGGTGAGCTTCGAACCTGTTGGAGTGCCGTCCACTTGCTCACCTGTGAAGGCGGCAAAGGCCATCTGCTTGTTGTCCACCGTCAACTTCCCATCAATCGCAGCTCTGTTGATAAGCTTCACAAGCTCTTCACCACTGACCTTCTCCTGCTCCATGAGTAGCTTTGCCAACTCATCCAGCAAAAACATGTTGTCTCTCAAGAGCTTCATGCCGCGCTGGTACTGTTCATCCACAATACGTTTCACTTCGTCATCCACCTGAGATCTCTTAGCGTCTTGAGCATCTTCTAAGGGCCGCTGCCTAGCCGGCCTAGCCTAAACAAATGATTGTCTCTGTGTGGAATCATGATGCGCTAGCCTCGTTTGAGCGTCCACCCAAGCCTGTTGCTTCAATGCTTGGGACATAGGCGGCGCGCCTTGACCCATGAAATCGCGGCCCATGAAAGGTCCGCCCTGCTGCTGACCTCCAAGTTGCCGCTG